TAAGGAAGAAACTAAAGTAAAAATGTCATCTTTCGTAAAAGTGTGACACGTCGCGCACGCGCGAGTATGTCATTTTCTCTTCTGCGCCGTTAATTTTGAAAACGCTATTGCATAAGAGGGAAGCTTTAAAGTGTTAATGTTAGAATAATTTAAAAATATTAGTAAAGGTATATTGATGTGGGTGATGTATTCAACAATATATATAACTCATTTAATATACATCACCAAAAACGATTATAATTTATTGAAACTTTAAATTAAAATTGTAATCAAATTAAAATTGTAAAAAAAATCGACTTTTTAGCTCCAGATGGAGTTAAACCACTTTAGAAAATAACCGCACGCATGATTAATGCTTTAACCTTTAAAGAGGATTCAATAAAATATATCTTCTTCAAATACGAAATATTATGTATCTTACAATCCCACTTCATAAATAAATGCTAAAGAGACCAGTCAAACTTTGAAAGAATGAGGATTCATTTTTTTAAATCAAAATGCAACAATGCACTCAACCTAAAATGCATCATTAATGCGCACCCAGCATGAAAAGCGCTGTATTGTTAATCAATTTCCCATTCTGTATCATGGAAACATATCGCTCATAAGAATTCAAACTAAGTTTTGGGGAGTGCATTTAAATTATACAAGAGTTGACGGATGGATATGGGTGAAAGTGAGGAAGCCTCCCAACATAAATCCATCAAAACTCAATCTGATAAAGTCAGCCTTATTGATTAAGAGGCTGTCCTCCATGTAGTGGTTTGAGTGACTTTTAATCCACTGGAAAATGGAGTTGTATAAATATCAACAGTTTGAGACGTTTGTTGAAGTTGATGGAAAAAAAATTACGGAAGTAAGAAGAAAGTAATACTGTCTATGGTGCAAAGAACAAGCGAAAACAAAAATATTATTTTTAAATAAGAAAATAACTATAACTAAAAAAGGAGCTATTGTAACAAAGCAAACAAAGAGAAAAGACTTCGCTGAAAAGAATAGCCATCTAAGGCGTGCACAACAAGCAATTGCGAAAACAAAAATTAATTTTACTGTGACGCTTACACTCCGAATAACAAGCTATTGTAACAAAGAATTTAAAAAAATATATTGCCATCCATATTGGGCACAATATCTATTACGAAGAGGAAATGATGTTTAAAAAAATGATTGCTTATGTCTTGAATTGCAATAAAGCAAGCAGAAGATTTAAGAAAAGTGTACTGTCGTCTATAGCGTGAGCAGTAATATTTCGCAAAAACAAACTATTGTAAAAAAAGCAAATAAATTAATAAATTTATCAATGTTATTTATTGGTGCAAACAACTTATTGCAACAGAAAAAAATAACATGTATTAAAAATATAAAAAAATGTGGAAAATATAAAAAGCATGGCTGTGAACATTTTCATTTTCAAAGCGCTCGTTAGACAATTGAAAATGAGTAAATTACTCGTATTGACATTATAGCTACAAATAACTAATTTGTTTTTTTTTAAACTAAAACTTCTGGCATTTCTTTTATTACTTTTTCAAAACTTTAATTTAAATCTCTTCAAAGCCTTATTTATATCTTTTAAACATTAAAGTTTTATAAGACCAATTATTTTTCATAAACAACGGTTAAAATGAATCAAAGGCTAAATGTACTTTTTGCTTACAATATTTATTTTCCTATTATCACTACAAGTGCAAATCATGCAAATTCGAGACAGATAATTTTCTAGAATTATAATTGTACTCAGCTTTTGGTAATTTCATCTGAAAGAAATCTGGCCAAAAGCTGGCTGTTTATTATCACTTACTAGTGTAAAGCACTTCAGTCTATGGTGTAAGCAGTAAACTGTTGTAAAATACATTTGTGTCTTAAATGAATGCAAAATTGCCTCACTGATGAAAGGGCTTACGTGATGTTTCCAATGAAAATTGCAACTAGCAAACGCAGTAGTTAAAAAAAAAAAAAAACGTTTTAGGCTAGTTTTTTGCGATGTAAATAAGGGAATAAAAATTTCTGATTTCATTTTCAGCTTTCATAAAATGATAGAAAATTAAATGGTATAAATTTAGTTATGTAAGCAGACAGACGTTAAAAATATGGAGAAACTAAAAAATATGATAATAAAAAAAAAGCAGAAGTATATTTCAAGTTCAAAATATTTTGTCTCGTAGTTATATGCATATAGAGCTAACGGAAATAAAAGAATTAGGAAACAATGAACAAAAAAAATAAGTTTTTTCCTGTTATCCCCATTGCAACAGTTTAAATACTAATGGAAATTACAATTCAGTCTCAATGTGAAATGCTTCCTTTCAAATGAGATACATTCTAATATTCTTTTTAGCCAATTTTATTACTTACGAGGAAATCTTAATGAAAATTAAAAATCGAATATTCTCCAGATAGAAAGCAGCAAACGATCCTTCTTAGAAGTTCCAATGCCTAAATAACGAAAAAGAGTATCAGAGAGGGCAGCTGAGTTGTTTTCTTCTTTGCATTATAACGGAGCAGGGAAAGTCCATTTCCAGTGTAATCAAAAGACCGTTTGTTGAATAATAGATATGGATGGGCGTCGAACACGTCTTCCCCAACAAGGACCTAACTTTTCCTCCTGTGATACCAACCATACAACTTAGTGAAAGTAGTAGTATTTAACTATGATAAATCCATATTAGTTCTTAAAAATCGTTCGCAAATAAAAATCTTGAAAAGATATCTTGTTAAATAAACATCGAATCGTAAAGAGTATTTTGACATCAAAATTTAAGTTAAGTATTCTTCAACTGTAAAACATTTGCTTATCTTCTATTTAACAGTATTTACCTGCATTATTTAATTATTATCCTTTCTTCGTTTGGTACTATTACGGTTTTGATAATGATTTTCATTTCAAATTAAAGGCTTAAAACTAAGAGTGGTATTCATTAATTATAACTTAACATTTTATGATAAATATATTTTAAGGGTTTTTTAACTTATTAACCGTTTTACGATTATTAAACAGTAAATAAGTTACATTTAAACTGCTGTTTGTAGAAAATGCAACACCATGAAAGAATCATCAGAATCAAATGAANCTTCTATTTAACAGTATTTACCTGCATTATTTAATTATTATCCTTTCTTCGTTTGGTACTATTACGGTTTCGATAATGATTTTCATTTCAAATTAAAGGCTTAAAACTAAGAGTGGTATTTATTAATTATAACTTAACATTTTATGATAAATATATTTAAAGGGTTTTTTAACTTATTAACCGCTTTACGATTATTAAACAGTAAATAAGTTATATTTACTTTCATTATAGGCTTTATTCAAATTTGTGTCCAGTCAACACATGAAATTTAAACGATGAATACAAAACTGTAAAGCATTGTTAAATTTTATAGTTCTATATTCGATTTTTTAATGCCGTATTTCGACGCACAAATTTCGAATTTGAGTATTCACCTATTGGTATGATTTATTCGCTACTATTCCATCGTGTTTCTACATCATTTTCCGACCATTTTCTCGGTAGTTACTTTTCGTTTTTGCCATCTTTTTCACTTAGTTTTTCAAATAACGATATGTTATTTCAATACTTAAACTTCAAATTTGATTAATCACTTTTTGACGCCCTCAATTCACAACTATGCAGCTGTAAATCAACATCATTTTCTAATCGTTTTCTCGGCGGTTATTATAATTAATTATCTTACTTCCGTGCCGGCAATTTCCTCATCGCTTTCAAAATATCCATGTTTTAAATACGATGTTACTACTACCGACGTATTCGGAATAACGCATTTGAGCATTTAAACCTTCATACGAGCATAAATATTTAATATTTACCAATCAGTGATTATTTGTATTGCAATAAGGCACAAAGCAATTATTGCGTTGAATTTTTTGCATCCAAAATGCATTGCGATACCGCTTTAAGAAAATGCTTGTGTGAATCCTAATTTTTATAGAAGTATGTTTTAGAACTAGTAAATTTTGCCACCAATTTTGAAAATGAAATTATGTCCTTCAATGGGATGCCTGCAAGTGATATAGTGTGGGTATCGCGCTACTCATCGCTTGTTGAAACGTAGCTTTTGTTCATGCTAGCAACTATTCTTTCTATTCTGCTTCGAGTAAGCCAAACCCTTCAAGTGTCAATTCTCTTTGGTGACGCATTTTATATTCCTTCACGAAGATTCTTTCACAAAAATTTCCATTCTTTTACTGTATATTTCTCACTTAACACAAAGGCAGGCATGAAGTCATGTAGAACATAAACTAATTATGCATGAAGTTGCCTGGCACACAAATAAAAATATATCACGATAACAATAAAATACGTAAACAAATAATAAATCTAAGTTAAATCAAAGGCGTAGACGAAGAAGAATTATACTTCAACAAATGTGTGATACGGATTTAATTAACTTTACGTTAATTAACATTCTAACTTATGAAGAGAAGCTTAGCTCAACTTCAACACGACATTTTGCTTATAAACGATTCACGGGCCCTGACGTCATATGTCACATGAGTAGGTATTGTAATCTTCTTGAAGTGCAAGCACCCAATTAAATATTTTTATGTAATTTTCACGCAACAATCTAATCATCGAGAAGAAAAAAATTATAAAAGCAATCATGGGTATTAGATAAACAAAACTTCCAAATAGTGACATATTAGCCTCAAAACTTCATGCAAAAGTATTTGTTAAAAGTTTTACCGAATGATTTAAGACATTATAAAAGTAAACAATCCCTTGAAAAAAAAACTTAATTTGGTTCACGCTCATTAAATAAAACTTTACCAACAATCACCGAACAATTTTTCTTAAACCTAAAAAAATTTCCTCTAAAAAATAAATGCAATTCTTAAATTTCACAACTTTGGAATGCTTATTCTTTATTTACCACTATTTCCTTCCCCAGTCCAATTTCAAAAAAGAAAAGTTTTGGGGAAAGAAAGTTTCTTATCATAACTTTGGATGATCAGTAATTTTGTCACGTCTGTCACTTACCTATATCTGTACAGCCGCCCCAAGTGCCCTGGTGAGCATGCCTAGCTAGTTTTCCCAGAGCATCTATGTAAGCTTTAGATGCTGCCACCGCTCCTACGGGAGAGAAAAGAAACATTTATTTTTCTAAATTCAAACAAACACATAAATAAAAAAACGGTGGTAAACATGAATTGTTTTCTGTAATAACAAAAGTTTTGAATTATGTGCGATCATTAACTTGCAAAAATTATTATGTAATGAAAATTAATTACTTGAAGGTATAAGTAATAAATGCAAGAATTTAGAAAATCTATTAAAACAAGCTATTTAAATACTATACTATACTAAAATGTGCATTTAATCTAACGATTATTAAGAAGTGAATAAAACAAGCAAACGAAAAGCGAGGACTTGCGTGAGCTGTTTGCTGTATTAAAAAAATTTTAAAATATGTGCGACCATTGGTTTGCAAAAGCTTATAATGTAATAAAAATGAATATAATAATTATTTGAAGGTATAAGTAATGAATATAGGAATTATTAAAAGGTATAAGTAATGAATATAAGAATTTAGAAAATCTTGTTAACCAAACGATTTAAATACTATATCTGCGTTTAATGATTATTCAAAAATGAACTGAACTTTTCAGAGTTTCATAATTTATTAAAGACGTCTACATAGAATTACAATACACGGAATAATTGAGAATTTCTTTGTTTCGTTTTTAAAATAATTTCAACAGTTCTTTACACATGAATAAATTAAGAACGAATAGAAGATTGAAACCGATGAAACAAAAACTGGATAATATGTTTTTTAAATCCATAAACAGATTAAGAACAAAAAGCTAAAAATGGACAAAGCAAAAATACTGATTATAGTTTATTCAAAAGCATTTATAATAGTTTTTTTTAATCAATAAGCGAATTAAGAACAAGTAGAAGATTATAATTGGCAAAACAAAAAATTTTCTGTTTTGCTTTTTTACCACTTTTATCATATAGAATAGTTAAAATTTAGATTTTTCTCACAATATACTTGAATTAAAAGGAATTGTTGCAATTAACTATGCTTGTTGCTTGAAAACAAGTAAAAATGTAGTTAAAAACAAAAGAAAAATATTGGTTTTTTGAACCCTGGTTGAGCCACGATTCGTAAATATTGGTCCAATGAGAGTTCAAGTTATTTTGCTGTGAGAGATGTTATATATTTCAAATTGTTTATGCAAGACTAAAAATTTATTAGCATGCAAAATTTTAGTTTGACTAATAGTTTGTTAATTTATCGACTATAGACGTGATTTAATAGCGAAATATTAATTTTATTACACTATTTTCGATATATTTTTAAAATGAAATAATGCGAAGACAAAAGGAATTAAGTAATCCAAAGAAAAATATTTTTTTTTAACTTAAGAAATAAATCACTTTGAAAGAAAAAAAAATCACAATATTGTCCTCCCTTAAGATGTATTGAGTTTAAACATATTTATGAGTCGCGGTTCATTTATTTCAGCCTTGTGACATATTTCAAATACGCCATTTTTTTTTATCACATTGTTCCATTATTCTAGTAAAAAATCAAAAGAAACTATTTTTCCATTTTTCAAAACCATTTGAAAATAATACTTAGCGGATCTATTTTATGTATTGAAAACAAAATCTTCACACTAGAACTCGAAAACTGTATTTGACAAATGTAAATTAGAAATAGTCAAATACATTGCACGACTTTTTTCTTTCTTAAAATGTGTTGATTGATGAAAGTTGACTTATGTAATCTGTAATTCAAATGCAAATGTTGATCTGTCATTCAAATGCATATTTAATATAAATGATGATGCGTAACTTAAAATACATGGAAGGATTTGAAGCAATACTCCTTTAATATTGCATTATATGAATTCAATATGTTTATAAATATTAAACAGTGACCTAAAAATATTATTTATTTTTATGTAATGAAGAGTCTATAATGCATTATTCTTTAAAAAGTTTGACGTCGTTACACTAGATGTCCATTCTTTTCCCCTAAATATCCTAAATAGTTTAGTGTTTCAAAGCAAATAACTCATTTTCAAAAATCATGATGAGTGCTCTCACAGAATAGATAACTCTTGTGACCATGTAAAGTTTCATATCTTTTGTGAATCTAATTTAATTTCTTTTTACTGTGGGATACTTTTTAAAAACTTTTCCAAGAAAAGAAAATACGGACAAAACATTGCATAAAAGTTTAACAATTTTATCATTTAATAAATAAAAATATTTTTAAAAAAATACCACGCGCAACCGAACCTATACTAGTAAATATACTTTAGTATTGCTTCAATATGCGATCTACTCGTGTAACGACTTTATGGATCAATAGTGGCGCTACTATAGTGCAGTCCTATATAGTACACCGGCAGTGGTACTTTAGCTTAAAAAAATATCAGTGCAGAATATATAGAGCAGAGGCACTTGACCTTAAAGAAAAACGTCAATGTAGAGTATACCAGGCAAAGGAATTTACGGCAGCGACATTTGCATTAAAAAAAACATTAATGAAAGTTGTTGTTATAGTTGATTTAGGTCACACTAGAGCTGCACAATGGGCCAATTTGCGATGGTCTGAAAGACATCCGATGATCCGAAAACATGCCATCACAATTTTGATCCCCTGCAGAGGAAATGGCACCCCCGCTTCTGTAGCCCAACGACCTGCACGCGAAGTCGAGCACTTTACGGGAGAACAGCTTAACGAGGACCAATACAGCACACCCTCGGTCCCTACGCAGACTGATCCAAGTGTACACCCACCCTCACACTGACCGCAACCAGTCATGCTTGACTTCGGTGATCTTCTGGGAACCGTGTCTTAACGATCAGTCCACTTTGGGACAAAGGCATCAGTGTAGGGCATATAGGTCAAATGTGTACCGGGCAGTGGCACTAAAGGAACAAAAATAAAAAATTCTTCAAATTATATGGATTGTAAGCTTTGAGTACCATGCTAACGAATGCAAAATGCTCTGTTTATACTTATTTTAATGTATAGTTGCGATCCAATTTTAATATATTTTGATGCAATTATAATTTTTAAAAATTGACATGAATTAAGAAACTTTCGAATCGTATAAATAATAAATAGAACATGAGATTTTTTAAAAAATTTGCAGAGGTGACATTTTTTAAAATTTCACTTGACATTAAAATAGTTTTGAAAGTAAACAATATTTCTTTATATGTATACATGAAAAGCATTGTGATATTTTCAGACAGGATTGCAGGTTGCAGACATAAAACAGACTACTTCAAATTTTGCAGAGGTAAAACCGTCAAAATCTCCTGACAATTTTTTTAAAAGATTTCTTTAACTTAACTTTAACTTTAAAAGATTCATGTTGTGATATTTTTAAAAAGAGAGGGGATAGCATATATTAAGTAATGAAACTACCCATCCCCAAAAAAAATCGAACTTTACAGTTCTGTTTTAGTAAATATGTTTTAGTAAAATATGTGCGTTACAAAATATCTCATCATTCTTCATTACAAAAATATTTTAAATAATCTTTTGTAGAAATCGATTTCGTTGCTAAATTCCTTTGAAATTAAAAAGAAGTCATTACCCAAAAAGGAACAGCTTTAATAAAGCTTCGCGTAATTATTTTAAACTGATTTATTTTGCAACATAAAAAAAAATCCTTAAGAAATGCTTTTAACATTGATTACAATGACACTTGTTTAATTAAATGAACATGTCTGAATTTTATTAAATAAATAACAGTCGAATTAATGCTTCGATAAATGTCTTGCATGTCAGAGAAGATTATTGTAATCAGTTTTTTTTGAGAGAAGATAAACTTGTTCAACTTACAAATATTTAAAAATACGAGATTAATTAATACATAATTTATTAGGAACCAATAATGTCAAAATTTTTTCTCTGGAAACTGATAAGTTTAAAGGTAACCTGAATGATTACTAAACTTAACCAACACAAACCTGAACTTAACCAAACTTACGAAATTTAAATTATGAAAAATATTTTTAAACATAAAATTAAAAATTGAGCAAGAAAAAACTAACATTCAAATTGTTCGTACAAGAAAAGCTTTAATAATCAAAAAAGTCTAACACCTGTCCAATTATTTGCCTAACAGTCCCAACATTAAAAGGTATAACCCATCGACGCCATCGTATGACACAAATCGTAAAACTCTTTCATACAAATGGAACACCAGAGTTCTTATTATCCATTTTTCTAGTGTTTAAATACGAGCAAAAATATATTTTGGCAATATTTAATTATATAAAACACTAGTAGTTACAAAAAAAATCTTTTAGATTTTCGGAATTATATTTGTACTAGTATATAAAATCCAAAAAAAGCAGTAGGAACAATTGGAACTTTGCTGTGCGTCTCTAAGGAATAACTATATATTTCTACATCTTACCTTGACGAAAGAACATCAGATATCACCTTTAAAGAGCTGAACCAGTAATCGATGACTTTGATTACAATGTGGACAAATTTAAAACTTTTAGTCGTAATTCTCATTAAAAATTAGAATTCAGTTGCATGTCTTTTCATAAAGGATAAGTTGTTTTCTAAGAATAACGCAAGGGCCATTTAAATGGCTTCAAAACACATTTAATTTCAGAACCGCAGATTCTACACAAAGTTTGTTTAATGTCAATTTTGTTTCATTTGTGTGTCACATATTGACTTGCGTGCAACGTTAACTCTAATTTTCCTAAGGATTTAATTCAGCTATTATAGATTAAAATTTATGTAAGCGGTAGGCAGGATTTTATTGTTGCAAGCGCATATTTGCTGTTTTACATTATCAAAAGTATTAGGACACCTAGTGTTACCAACTAGGAGAATTCTGAGGTATATACAGTGCTGGAAAAAGTATAAAGCCACTGCAGAAAGTGATAAAACGTAAAATGAAAGGACTTGGTTTTATAATATATCCATCGATTATGACAAGATTAAATCAAAAGCAAGATGAAATTAATTGCAAAATAGATTACACATTGCTTTATGAGTCATAATAACATTTCAGCACAAAATAAGTTGGTACAATTATTACATCAGTAATCAATGTGGCATATCTTATTTTCGA